AGAGAGAGAGAGAGAGAGAGAGAGAGAGAGAGAGAGAGAGAGAGAGAGAGAGAGAGGGAGAGAGAGAGCGTACATCACTCTCTCGCTCTGCACACGTTTACGTGTGTTTTTGTTATTGTTCAGTATTCGGTAGTATTAATCTTCATGGAATGTAAATAATGTTCATGGAATGTAATAACAATTAGTACAAGCCGCTATTTCATTTGGCTCACTCGAAGTTATTTGCTTCTTTTTCCGTCAGTTTCGTAAAAAATCTTTGTATAGACGGTATAGAAGGGACTTGAAGCTAGTTTGTCGTACGCGTACGTTCGTGTATATGTACCGGAGAATGGCTGTATACAGCGAGAAAGACACATGAAGAGAAAGAAGGATAGAATGAAACAGAGAGAAAACAAGAAAGATAAAGAAAGCGAGAGAGAGGTGGAGACGACAAGAGAGAAAGAGGGAACTAGCGATGGAGAGAGGGAGAGGGAGGAAAAGAGAGAGCGCGAGAAAGCGAAAGATTGAAAGAGAGAAAGAGATAAAGCGAAAAGGATAAGGAAGAAATGAGAGACACAGAGAGATATAAAGAGGATTAGAGCGTGAGAGCGAAAGGGAGAACGAGACAAAAGAAAAGAAAGGAACAGAGAGAGAGAGGCAGACCGAGCAAGCGAGATAGAGAGAGAGAAAGAAAGAAAGAGAGAGAGAGCGAGAGAAAGAGAGAGAGAGGGAGAGAGAAAGAGAGAGAGAGACAAAGAAGAGCGAGACAAAGAAAGAGAGAAAGGGAGAATAGAACAGCGAGAGAAAGAAAGAAAGAGAGAGAGGGGAGAATGTGTGTGTGTGTGGGGGGGGTGAGAGAGAGAGAGAGAAAGTTTCGAGCTTGGAGGGAGAAATACGCTCATACACACAAGGATAGTTGTTTCGTATCGATGAATACTCTAGCAGTGACCTTGCACTCACCTTGGGGACAAATATTAAGCAGTTAGTGACCGTAACCTGGATCTGTAGCTCCAGTAGGAACACGATGTAGATGACGTCAGGCCCGGCAGAGGCCGCCACGAACAACCTGCGAAAACACGCAGTGACTTGAGTGAGGTGCAAATTACACTAGTAACGGAGAGTCGCAGCCGACAGATATCCTCATCCAAGTGTGGCTTTAGGCGTCCTCGTCCCCCGCCGGTGGCCTCCAGCCCCCGTCAACTCACTCCGACAATCACTCTTCCGCGACCGAAAATAGTTCTATTTGTTTACGTATTTTAGTAATCCTAAAACAGGTTACCATGGTATATGCCGATTGTATTACCCATAGGCATAGATAAAGCATTAAATAGAAGAAGAAAAACAAGACAAACGCCAGTGCAGCACTCGGTAAGTTATTAATAGCACATTATAGTGTTGCCGGCGTTATATTTGTATGACGGGGGCCTAAGGCCACCTATATAGTATTAAAATAATAGAATAGTGTATGGGGGCCCAAGGCCACATATATAGTATTGTATATGACGGGGGCCTAAGGCTACCCATATAAAATTGTAATTATAGTGTATGCTGGGCGCCCAGGGCCACATATATAGTATTGTATATGACGGGGGCCTAAGGCCACCTATATAGAATTGTAATAATAGTGTATGATGGGGGCACAAGGCCACATATATAGTTTTGTATGGCGGGAACCTAAGGCCATCTATATAGTATTGTAATAATAGAATAGTGTATGATGGGGGCCCAATGCCACATATATAGTATTTGTATGACGGGGGCCTAAGGCCACCTATATAGTATTAAAATAATAGAATAGTGTATGGGGGCCCAAGGCCACATATATAGTATTGTATATGACGGGGGCCTAAGGCTACCCATATAAAATTGTAATTATAGTGTATGCTGGGCGCCCAGGGCCACATATATAGTATTGTATATGACGGGGGCCTAAGGCCACCTATATAGAATTGTAATAATAGTGTATGATGGGGGGCCCAAGGCCCCATATTATAGTATTTGTATGGCGGGCGCCTAAGGCCACCTATATAGTATTGTAATAATAGAATAGTTTATGATGGGGGCCCAAGGCCACATATATAGTAATGTATATGACGGTGGCCTAATGCCATCTATATAGTATTGTAGTATAGTGTATGCTGGCGGCCCACCAAGGCATCCTATATAGTAGTGTGTGGTAAGCCTTGGTTGTAAGCTATACCGCCTGCAGCAAAGAAAAGTAGGCTGCATCACTTGCACATTGTATTATTGCGCCAGCGGGGCTCTAGGCCCCCGGTGGCTTATGGCCACACTTAGATGTGGATATCTGTCGCCTGCCGCAGAGTCAGCCGTACGCACGCACACACACACACGCGTGCACGCACAAACGCACGTACGCGTACACGCACGCAAGCACGCGCACACGCTCGCAAGCACGCGCGTGCACCCACACACACGCATACGCACACGCACACGCACGCGCACGTGCAGGCGCAAGCGCACACGCACGCAAGCACGCGCGCACGCGCACGCGGACGCGCACGCACCGCACACAGTACACGGCAACACGCCACACGGCACACGCTCTTGCGATGGGCAAACGCACACGCACACGCATACACGCGCACGCGCGACTGCTGCACGTCGCACACGCACACGCACGCAACGTAGTCACACGCACACGCACGACCGCACAGCACGAAGCACACGCCACGCGCCACCCTGCGCACGGGACGCACGTCACTCGCTGCCAGCCGGGGCGCCTGTGCTGTGTTCTCAGCTGTTGGTTGTGGGGAAGAGATGCCGCCGAAGTTGGCTCCGATGGATGAAACTTGGTTGGGCCGCGTAGCCATCACGGGTAAATGAGCGAGCACGCCACCGCACACGCACTACAACACGCACGCACGCACGCACGCACGCACGCACGTACACAACACACCACACACACACACAAACACACACAGCACCCACAACACACACACACACCATCTTTCTCAATGGCAGAGGTTTGGTTTTCCTGCCGTTATTGATCGATACGACGAAAAATAACGCGGAAAAAAATCGATAAAAACGTAAGACGACACAATAGAATGTAATAAGAGTAGTGACTGCATGCTGACAATGCTTTTTACTCCCTCCGCCCCCAAACCTCCCACCCGCACCTGGAGCGAATTTTCCGATAGTGTTAATAATTGTCTATTCAGTAATCTATTAGCTGCTTTATAGGTAAGAATGAATACACCGGTTAATGTCGATCACTACCCCCTCCTCGATGGGAGAGGAGGAGAAGGGGCAGCAGGAGGAGAAGGGGGAGGTACGGAGGATAAGGGGAAAGAAGAGGAGGAGTAGGCGGAGGAGAGGAGGAAAAGAAGGGGAAGGAGGAGGAGGAGTAGAGGAGGAAGAGGAGGAGGAGAAGGGGAGGAGGAACAGGCAGAATCGGGGGGGGGGGGGGGGGGGGGGGGGGGGGGGGGGGGGGGGGGGGGGGGGGGGGGGGGGGGGGCGGGGGGGGGGGGGGGGGGGGGGGGGGTGGGGGGGGGGGTGTAGGAAGAGGAGGAGTAAAGGCGGAGGAGGAAGAGGAGGAGAAGGGAGAGGAGGAGGAGAAGGGGAGGCAGAGGAGGAGAAGAGGGAGAGAAGAAGGGAAGGATGAAAGGGGGAAGAGGAAGAGAAGGGGAGAGGAGAGAAGGGGATGGGGGGCAGAGGATGAAAGGCAGGCAGGCGGGAGGAGAAGGGGAGAAGGAGAGAAGGGGGAGGAGAAGGCAGGAGTAGGACGGAGGAGGAGGAGAAGGGAGGAGGAGAGGAGGAGGATGAGGGGAGGAGGAGAGACAGAGGAGGAGGAAAGGGGACAAGAGGAGAGAAGCAAAGGGGAAGGAGGAGGAGAAGGGGAGCAGGAGGAGAAGGGGGAGGACATCGCTGCAGGATGAACCAGGGGTGGGCGGAGGGGGAAGAGGAAAAGCAGGAAGGTAGAAGGAGGGTAGGAGGAGGAAGTGGAGGAGGAGGAGGCTGGCGGGAAAGGAGGAGGGAGAGAGAGGAGGTGGAGGAGGAGGAGGAGGAGGAGTGGGAGAAGGAGAAGAAGGGGAAAAACCCCAACAGATGTTCGCTGTCTATATTTCTCCTCTGCTCACCGACGGGGGATGGATACGCTTTGTAATGAGAACACAGTCTATCCGTTACTGGCGAGACACGATAGGAAGCCGTCCGTAGAAGACAGGGGCCGGTTTCACGAAGCGTAATTAAGTCCTTAATCATGATTAAATTACTAATCATGATTAACTTCCCGTACTTAAATTGAAGTGACTATCATAATTAAGTTAATCACCATATTTAATTCTACTCAGGAGCATGATTAAATCCACTAATCATAATTAGTTGCTAGTACTAGTAGTAGTATGTAGGTAGTACTAGTATATTAAGTACGCTGCAGATTTTACAATTGGAAATTTTACTTCATTTTTTCCAAAGAAAATTTTAATTATCTAAGATTAGCTGTACTAATTTAGTCATTGTAATTGCAAATTAATTCCTTTTCATGTGCCGAATTTGCAGACTTTTGGCGTTGTCCGCTATTTTGAATACAGTCACAGTGTAATTAATGTTTAAGTCGGCTAATCATGTGATTAGTTAAATATGTACTTAAATCGCTTCGTGAAACAGATTTTTAAGTATGATTAACTAATCATAATTACAGGAGGTTAATCATGATTAGTGATTTAATCATGATTAAAGTTAATCACGCTTCGTGAAACCGGCTCCAGGTGTGTGCTAATGCTGAGTCACACAAGTTAGATTCAGGTGAGCATCAGGTGAGGGGAGGAAGGGGAGGAGGGGGAGGAGGAGCAGGAGGAGGAGGAGGGAAGGGAGGGGGAGGAGGGGAGGAGGAGGAGGAGAAAGAGGAAGGGAGTAGGAGGAGGAAGAGGAGGAATAAGAAAAGGAAGAGGAGGAGGAGGATTAGGAGGAGAATAAGAACGAGGAGGAGGAGAAGGAGAAGGAGAAGGAGAAGGATGGGAAAGAGGAGCAAGGGGGCAGGCAGGTTAGTTACGGCTACAGGTAACGTACATTCGTGCCCTACTGATGAGCTACAGAATCATTGCCAACGTCTCCATCACGTTCACCACCGTCATCAACAACACTGCCGTCACCACTCCCATCATCATCAACGTCACCACCACCACCGCCACCGTCATCATCAACACCACCACTACTTCCACTATAAACATCAACTTGACCACCACTATCACTGCCGATACCATCATCATCAACGCCACCGTCATCGCCAACACCATCATCATCAACACCACCGTCACTGCCGACATCATCATTATTATCATCATCAACGCCAACGTCATCGCCACCGTTACCTGATGATGATGAGAAATGTCCCTACGATGATGGTGTTGTAGATCGCCCAGGAAATATACTTGCTCTCGTTGAAACTAGATGGCGCTTTGCGCACAACCCAGCACAGATAGACACCCCAGAGTAGGAACAGCAAACGTGCTGAAATAAAGAAACGAACAAACATATAGATAAATAATCATATATATATATATATTTATATATAGACGCGCGTACTCTTCATGGCCGTGAACACGCGTTGTTGTGTAGAATGCGTGATATAGCGGTGTAATAGGTAGACTCTCCCCTCCCTCTCAACGCTCTTATAGTTGCAGTGTGCTCCTACCATCTACCCCTCCCCTATTAGTAATGGTTACGTCCTGCCCCTCCCCTTTCTTCGTAACGCACCTATCGTGGCTGTGTGCTTCCACCAGCTACCCCTCCTCTCTCAGTAATGGTTGCGTCACGCCCCTCCCCTCCCCCAGGTACGCACCTATCGTAGCCGTGTGCTCTCACCAGCTACCCTTCCCCTACCATGCAGTAATGGTTGCGCCCCGTCCATCCCCTCCCCCGGGCACGCACCTATCGTGGCGGTGTGCTCCCACCAGCTGTTGACGCAGATATCGTACTTCAGACCCGTGTTAGTGTACAGCGTGTCCAACTGTCCCAAGTCACCAGTGACGGACCAGACAACCATGTAGGCGACGGTGGCGACAACTATCGGCACAAACCACTTAAAGAGGACGAGGTCGGGCATGCGGATCGGTTTCGCCGAATTGACCTTGAAGATTACGGCGACTCTGTGGTGAAAAGAAAAGGGGAGGGTGGTGAGAGAGAGGGGGAGGTAGTACAATAGAGAGTGAGAGAGATGTGGAGGGAGATAGAGAGATGGGGAGAGGGAGAGAGAGAGAGAGAGAGAGAGAGAGAGAGAGAGAGAGAGAGAGAGAGAGATGGGGGTAGTGGGGTGGGGAGAGAGAGAAAGGTGAGGGAGAGTGGGAAGAAGAAAGAGAACGAACCGGACAAAGACCGAGAACATGCGAGAGAACGAGAGAGAGGAAGAGCGAGAGAGAGAGTGAGTGAGAAAGAAAGAAAGAAAGATGAGGAGGAAGACAGAGAGAGGAAGAGGGATGAGAGGTAATATAATATAATATAAAATATTATGATATAATCTGTCATTACATAGTCCAAAATAATAACCCATGATTTTTTCCTTTTGCAATGTCAGATGACCTCGGAGATCAAATCCAATGTGCCGATGACATTCAGTATCCAAAGTTACATCGAATTGCCATCCTTGGACATATGCCATCTGGAGTGGCCCATATTGATTTGAATGGAGAACAGACAAACAGAGAAACTTCCACAAATATGTATTAGATAATAAGTTACTATAGCTTGCTACCTCCATGTTTTGAGTAGCAGGGCTCCATATAGGAGGAAGAATCCAAGTTGATCGCACCACGCTCCCACAGTACACAGCACGTAGGTTGGTCGTGCGTACAAGATGATACCCTGATGACATAACACACATTACATGTAACACCATCATGATACCATCTTCATAACACACACACGCCCCCATCCACACGCACACGTTCACGCACACGCACACGCATACGCACACGCGCCACTGGGCCCCGCACACACACACCAAATCACACGTCCAATCACGCACACCACATACACACAGACAGACACGGGACCAGCAGCGCACCACGGGGCACGCACACACACACCACCCGCACACGCACACGCACGCACACGCACTACGCACACCACGCCCGCACACCACACACACACACACACACCACAACAACACACCACGTACACGTACACACGTACACACGCACACAACGTACACCCGCACACGCACACGTACACGAATCACACGGCAGACGCATTAACCACACTCAACCCACACACCCACACACACACACGTGCCACCGGCACCACACACCACACACACCAACACATAGGGGCCCAGCAACACCACACCACACACACGACAGACACACACACACACACACACACACTCGCGCGGCGGCTACACACGTACACACACAGCCACACTCCACCACACAACACACACACACCCACACATACACAAGACACACACCACACAGCGCACACATCACCCTCACCCACACACACACGCAACACACACAACCGACGCCCCGCAACGCAACACGCACGAGACACGTACACACACACACACACACACACACACCACACACACACACACACCCACACACACACACACACACAGAGCACACACACCACACCACACCACACACACACACACGCGGGGTTGTCCGTACACTCACACACCACAAACACACTGTCACCACACACAACGCACACACATACACACAAACCACACACACACCCACAGCACACGCACAGCGCACGCGCACACACGTGCAGCTTGGTCACGCCACGCACGTGGCACGAACACACACACATACACTACACACATATATATATTATATATATATATAAATATATATATATAAACTCACGAAGAAACAACACAATGAATACAAGACGGCGGACCCTTTGTCTAACTGTCACGAAATCTCTGTGTGTAAATAGTCGCCAATGAGACGATGCAGCTACAGCTGAACAGACAGCAGTGACCATTATAGACACAAGTAAGTACAGGTGAGTAGATGTGACTAATCATGATCACTGCAGGTAAATACAGGTGAATAGACTCAACTCATGATAATTGATACAGGTAAATACAGGTGAATAGACTCAACTGAATAATACAGGTAACTGCAGACGATTCAACACAACATCATAATTGTTACAGGTAGGTACAGCCGAGTCGACACAACTGATGATAATTGTTACAGGTAAGTACAGGTGAATAGACACAACTGATGATAATTGTTACAGGTAAGTACAGGTGAATAGACACAACTGATGATAATT